GGAAGAGTGCCGTGGCATCACAGCTCAAACTCTTAGGCTTAAGTGATTCTCTTGCCTCAGCTTCCCAAGTAGCTGGGACTACAGGCACCCGCCACAACTCCCAAGTTTTCTATAGAACGCAGTACACAGATCCCAGTGTCTTCCCTTCTCATTTCTTTGCACATAGATTTCTGTTTGGTAGATGGAGCTGGGGTGGTTATTCCTGCCATCCAGAGTGCACTGGTTCATCTCCAGAGGTCAGCTCAGGGCTTCTCCACGCTGGACCCAAACCCCCTCCACCTTTACTTTCTATCCCAGGAGTTTGGGGGGAGGTCTGCCCTATCACCATGATGCACAGTTCCCTGATCCACTAGTGATTGGTTCGTGCAAATAGTGGCATGTAAATAGTATGAGTCGATCCAATCAGAGTGGAATCACGTGGTGGCTACCCCAAAAGGCCTGTTTTCTTTTTCTTTTCCAGGCCCTGAATGTGGCGCTGGCTCAGCCCTGGAGGAAACTGAATGTTGAGGATGTTGTATGGGTTCTTGAATTAAGCCAGCTTATTACTCCTGAAAGATAATAAACTGATGGAGCAATTAATTCCTTTCCATGTACTTCGACAGCCTGGGTTTTCTCCATTCCTCAGCTCCAGTCTGCGAGAGCATTTGCAAGCGTCTGTGTGCAGGTAGATGTACTGAATGATTTCTTACCCAGTGCATTTCTCCAGGTGTGCACTTTGCACATCTAATGTTTGTTAAGATTTGATTCTTTTTCAAGTTTTAATGCACATGCCAATTATGCAGCATGCATGTTTAGAATAGTTAATTTTTATTTATTTTTCAAAAGAATATGTTTATTATAGAAAATGTGAGAAGGGCAAGAAGATAAGAAGAAAAAACATCAACCATAGTCCTACCACCCAAAGAACACTCGTTAACAATTACTTTTTATTTTAATGATTCTTTCTCCCGAGCTTAGTTTTCTAAGGGATTTTTTGTTTTGTTTTACTGCTTTTTTCCTTCTTACTAAGCAGATGTAACTTTTTAAAATTTGCAACAAATTTTACCTGTGTGGTTCCGCTCTTTTATTGTATATTAATAATTTATGAAAGTAATAAGCCCTGTAGCTATGGTGAACTTCCCTGGGTGGCAATACTTTTCAGTGAAAGTAATGAGTCCTGACTCTTCAGGGAGAGGGCTGTGGAAGCTCCACGTTGGTACCTCCCCAGACTCCACCCTACGCATTTCCTCCCTTAGCTGATGTCAATCTGTATCATTTCTGTTAATAGTAAGAAACTATTAACTGTGACTATGAGTTTTCAGTGAATGTTTTGAGTCCTTCTGGCTGATTATCAAACTGAGGGTGGTTTTGGGAATCCCCAGAACTAGAGTTGGTGTCGGCAGTCAGGGTTGTTTGTTCCTTCCGTGTCCACCTGTCTGATGTGGTCGCCTCTCAGCTCTCCTTTTCTTTTCTGACTTGTTCGCTTCTATATTGCCTGTTTCTCCCACCAGAACTGCATACTAGGGGGTGGCCGGCAGGTGCTCTTCATGCTGCCATCCGGGTCACCCCGGTCATTTTCTCTTGTGTTACTGAAGCATTATGTGAGCTAGGTTGGATGTGGGCCGTGGAAGAGAAGGTTCAGGTATGTATCATTCAAAGCTATACCCCCATACTCAGATAAGTATGTCATTATTTGCTTTGCTAAGTTTGTCACTATTCATTGAATGATCAATTTTTTAATAAATAAAACAACAGGCGTGAAAACACAAAAACAAATCATGAAAAGACAAATAGCACATGTAGCTGACCTGCCAGAATCAAACTTGCCCACGGCTCGCCCCCCGCCAGGCCCCGCCCCTCCTTCCCCGCCCTTCTCCCGATGGTCCCGCCTCCGGCTCGCTAGATTCCCCGGGGAGGCTCCTCGAAGTGTGAGTGGATGCGGGGCGGCGCAGGCCGGGCATGCGCAGAGCGCGCGGGCCACGGTTGCCGTGGCAGCGCCGGCTGGAGCGGAGGGCTGCGGGTGCGGCGCGGGGACCGCAGCGGTGTGAGGCGGCCACACCGCTACCCGAGAGCTCGTGGTCCGGCCAGAGGCGGCCCAGGGTAGGCCTGAGCGGCTGGGCGCGTCACCCGGCCGGCGGGGATGCGGGACCGGCTGCCGGACCTGACGGCGGTAAGCAGCGGCGGCGGGTAGCGGTACGCGCTGGGCCGGGGCGGGGTCCCCCAGGGCGGGCGGGGCGCAAGGCGTCCCGGGGCTGGGGCTGCGGGCGGTGTCCAGCGATGGGAGCGGGGCTCCCTGGAGATATCTCCAGGGTCAGGGCTCGCGGTGTCTTTCGGCTGGGACGGGGTCTCAGGACACCCTGGGGCAGGGGCTAAGATAGATGTCCCTAGGGGGATTTAGGGGTACCCTGGGCAGGGGCTTGGGGAGGGGTCCCCAGGGCGGGGACTCGAGGCTTCCTGGGGTAGAGGTTCTGGGTGGGGTCCCAGGGCAAACAGAAGTGTTGGTGGCTTCCCTGGCGTTTGACCGCTTGCGTTCTGCAGGTGGGGACCCAGAACTCTTGAGAGTGTAGTGTAAACAGTTGGGCTGGAGGCACTGGGAAGGGGAAGGAGCCGGCCCGTGACCTTTTCCTGAGCGGGGCTTGCTGCTGCCCTGGGCTGGTATCTGCGTGGAGTTCACACGGTCTCTCCGTCCTGTCTGATTCTTGGCCCAAGCACTTATCCCAGTCATAGGTCACTGGTCTGTCATCCGCCCTGGCGGGGGTCAGCCCCAGTGGCGTCATTCCTTTGGGGGGCAGGGCTGGGTACTCTTGCTCACTGCTTCATACACAGGGCCTAATCCAGGATCCTGTACCAAATCGAGTCAACAGGTCTGTGTGGAATGGGGGCGCCTTACAATGCGGGACACGTGGTGGGGTGAGCCACCAGCAACAGCTCCTGTCTTGTGTTCTTCAGTAAATAGTTAATAGTTTGCCTTGGGGAACTAGGACTGTGTGTGTTTACTCTGTCTGAACACACCTAACAAGCCCAGCTAGTGGAGTGCATAGGTACTCAGCAGATGGAACAGCAAATTATTTTACTTTATTAGAAGGAAAGCAGTTTGATTAAAAATGGAACTGTAGTGGATGTTTATAGAATGTCTGAGAGGTGAAACAATTTAGGCCGGCAGAAGTAATTATGACTTTTTAAAATAAACAGTACCAGGCACTATTTTGTGTGGAGTGTTCACTATTTTGTTTTATCCACTTTACAGATAATGGCTTCTGCCCTCTGAATTGCTGGCAGCCTCAGACCAGGGCTGCTAAGGCTCATTGCCCTTAGGCAATCATTGCTTGTAATGAATTATCATCTCTCCTTTGCTTCTAGAATGGAGCTGTTATGTACTGTGCATGGGAAAATAGAGTAGCCACTTAACCACTTACATCATTATCTGTGTTCTGTGGGTCAGATGGGGAACTCTGATGGAGAAAAACAATGAATTCATCCTTAAGATCATGGGAGTTATGTTTCTACTTAGTCTAATAAGGAAGTTTCTTCATAGGGATTTTCTTTCCTTCCCGCTTTCTTTTTTTTTTTTATTATTTTTTAAATTAAATCATAGCTGTATACATTAATGCAGTCATGGGGTACAAAGTGCTGGTTTTATATACAATTTAAAATATTTTCATCAAACTGGCCTTCATGGCATTTTCTTAGTTATTGTATTAAGAGATTTATATTCTACATTTAGTGAGTTTCACATGTACCCTTGTAAGATGCACTGTATGTGTGGTCCCACCAATTAGCCTCCTTCCACTCATCCTCCCGTCCCCTTCCTTTCCCCTTTCCCCATATCCTTCCCTCTTTCTTAATGGTCAAACATTTTTACCTTCCTGGCAGCTGCAGACCATCATGTTAAACATAGCCAACTCCTATTGTATTATCTCATTCTATAGATTATCCTACAGAGCCACATAATAGGACCTGCAATATTTGTTTAATGAAGAAATCTTGAATGTCACTGAATGTCTTTTGCTCTGACTGGTTTAGCAAAAGATAGCCAAATGTATGAAATATCAGAGAATAGTAAGAAAGATATGTCAGTAGAATACTGTATAAGCTCCTTTTCTTCTTGGCTTGATTAGCAAGAAGTAAATAAGGTGAATTATTTATTATCCTTTCAGTCCATGTATATTCCCTCCCTTCCTGAAACAGTGAGAAGACATTGTGGTTTTGTTTTAGAGTTGGAGAGCCAGCAGCACCTTGTCTAGTCCATTTGCCTCCTGTGTTAGGGGCCAGGACTGTGTAGTCAGAGAGCAAATTGGTGGGAGATTATACTTCTGCAGTTTCTCCCACTGGGCAAATAGTTTTAAAACTCTCAAAACTTTGATTTCCTTATATATAAAGTGGGGATGATCCTTCTTCATTGTCTGCCTCCTAGAGGAAGTTGGGAAGCGTAGAGTTCCCCAGCATGTGAGGCTCTGGGACAGGAGAGAGAGAGGAATGCTATTTAGGAGTCCTGTCCATATTTGCTATGTTTTATGTTTATAGGAAGCAATGATGGCAGTCTTCTTTCTAGCATAAAATAGTAAGTCAAAAATGAATTTGACATGCTTCAAGTTTAACAACTTTTAATATTTAAAAACTCATCTTAAAGTTATCAGATGTAAGTTTAAATGTTTTTCCTCCAGGAAATGTGTCCTATCCAAGTAGTTCTTGGAGTAGTTGAATGTCTGTTCACAACCATATTTCTGAATAATTGGTTTTTTTTAATAGGTAAAGTCAATATTTAATTTTGGTAATTATTAAAATGTCTCTTCTGAAATGTCCAGAAGAATAAAATATTTGTGATGCTTCCAGAAAGTTTACTTTTTTTTGTTTTGTTTTTTTCTTCTCACCACCTTACAGCTGTTAATGTTTCCTCTCTTTTTTTGAGACAACAGTCTTACTTTGTTGCCCTTGGTAGAGTGGCTTGGTGCCATAGCTCATAGCAACCTCAAACTCTTCGGCTCAAGCGATTCTCTTGCCTCAGCCTCCCAAGTAGCTGGGACTACAGGCGTCTGCCACAATGTCTGGCTACTTTTTAGAAGATGGGGGTCTTGCTCTTCCTCAAGCTGGTCTTGAACTCCTGAGCTAAAGCAATCTACCTGCGTTGGCCTCCCAAAGTGTTAGAATTACAAGTGTGAGCCACTGCACCTGGCTAATATTTCTTCTTGAGAAAAAGGTACCACCGACAATTACTTAGAAATTTGAATTGGCAGATTCAGCTTCTTTTAATCAATGATTCTCCTTTTATATTTTTTATTTTTTTGAGACAGAGTCTCACTCTGGGTAGAGTGCCAAAGTCATAGCTAATAGCAATCTCAAACTCAGCAGGTTTAAGCAATTCTCTTACCTCAGCCTCTGGAGTAGCTGGGACTACAGGCACCTGCCACAATGCTTGGCTAGTTTTTCTATTTTTAGTAGAGACGGGGTCTCACTCTTGCTCAGACTGGTCTCAAACCCCCTCAGCTCAGGCAATCCACTTGCCTTGGCCTCCCAGAGTGCTAGGATTACACATGGGAGCCACTACAATGATTTTTTTTTTTTTTGAGCAACAGTTTGTGGACAGAAGATTTAAAAGACTTGCCCAAGGTCTCCTAGATTCTAAATGCAGACAGATATTTCCCGTTTGCAGAAAGTAAAAGACCACCCATCCAAGAGACACTCCAGTGCCTCATTGCTACCAGGGAATATGCTAAGTGTACAGAGACACCACAGTGAGTGGAATGCATGCCATCACACACAGCCTGAGAAGACATGATGAGATTCATGTTAGGAATAGCTATCCTACAAGATAGTGGCCCCTGAAAGAAAATATTTTAATAGGGTCTCACTCTGTTGCCCAGCTGGAGTATGGTAATATCACAGCTCATTGCAGCCTCAAAATTCTGGGCTCAAGCAATCCTCATACCTTAGTTTCCTGAGTAGGTGAGACTACATGCTCCTGCCACCATAACTGGCTAATTTTTCTATTTTTAGTAGAGATGGGGTCTTGCTTTTGTTCAGCCTGGTCTCAATGGCTTTAAGTAATCCTCCCACCTTGGCCTTCTGGGTCAGATAAAAATTTCAATAATAAATTATTCATTTCTGTTAAATCATATGTACCAGGAAGCTTTTTGCTGCCTGTTCCTGACAATAGTATTCACATAGGGAAAATGGTTTTTTTACTTTAATGCTACTTTTAAGTATAATTCTTTTAGCATTTAGCAGAAAAGTAATGTCGGTATTTGAATATTTATCCTGCTCTTTGGCACTTTGGTAGTCAAGTATTTCATACTGGAGAATATTCTTGGTGCTTTTAGTAAATGTTTGCCACAAATAGTTCCGTTACTTACATTGAATGTGCTGTTATGCTTGAGGCTCTTGTATAGGTTTTAATCTCAGCATGAAAGGTTGAACATGGGGCATTCATTGAAAATAGGAGTAACATAGCCAAAAGTATTGTTTTTGGTAGTAATTTTTTTTGTTTCTTTTTTATGAATAGGAAAACAAAACAGTATTACTGGGCTTATTTTTCTAATATCTAACAGTTCTGAGAACTCCAGGTAGAAATCAGAAATATAAGTAAGACAATAAGATTAAGACATAGGACATCAGAGAAATATCTCTGTAGTCATATTGCTCATTTTTGGCCTTCAGGTAGAGAAACAAATTTTTTACCAGCAAGTGAATGATTTTCTGAACAAAAACGGTGTGTAATGTGGATTTCAGAGAGTTGAGTAGGGATTGAGTTTCTCTAATTGTTTATTCGGTGTCACTATGTGGCGTGTGGTGGTATACAGTGGGACAATTATGATAAGATGACTTTCCTCAGGAAGGTGTGACATTGGAGACAATCTCTCCTAGGCACTGAGGCAGATATAGCTTGTCTCCTGAGCAGCAGGTGAAGTAGCTTGGGCTTCTGACTGTGCTGTATACACACTGGATTTGCCTCAAGATGGCCTTAGGGTGTAGGGTGGGAAGTTGTGGTCACCACTGAATCTGGGTAATGGAGACATTGAAGGCTGCTTGTATGAGGTCGGACGACTAAGTTTGAGAACTCATCCTAGAAAAAGTGCTAACATACCTCATTGGTAAATATCACTACAGTCTCCTTTCAGGTATTTCCCTTGGGGAGCTATGCATGCATTCCAGCACTTAGTCCACCCTTCAAAGTACTTTTCCTAGGACGAATTTGTGAACTTAATTGTCAAACTTGATATGGTGACAGCACTGATGGCCATTCCAGAAAAGAGTTCCAACATTGCTTTACTGCCATGAGCTGGTGGTAAAGGGTAGCTCTTGGGGTTTTCCAGAGGGTCAGCATGGTACAGTTAAGATGAGGAGCTTCGTACAGCCAACAGAGCTACTTAATTCTGCTATGCCACGTAGGCATGTTCCTTAACCGTGGGGGTTTGTGTTCTTGTGTATGAAATAGATATGCATATGCATGATGTTTGTTAGGGTTAACTGTGTTCTGGCACCAGAAGCTGAGGTAGGAGGACCCCTTGAATTAGGAGTTTGAGACCTGTCTGAGCAGGAGCAAGAGCAGGACCCTGTCTGCTAAAAAATAGAAAAATTAGCCAGGTGTGGTGGGCCTACTGGTAGTCCCAGCTCCTCAGGAGGCTGAGGCAGGAGGATTGCTTGAGCCCAGGAATTTGAGGTTGCTGTGAGCTTGGGTGATGCCATGGCACTCTAGCCTGGGTTACAGACTCTGTCTCAGGAAAAAACCCCAGAAATTTATCCCTTCAAAGTTCTAGAGTTCTAGATGTTAGACAGAAGTCTGAGGCAAAGGTGCTGACTCTCTCTGAAACCTGTAAAAGAGGATCCCGCCTTGCCTGGAGATTCTGGTGGTGGCCCACCGTCCTTGGCATTCCTTGGCTCTTACGGGCACTGCTGCAGTCTTTGCCTCCCTTGTCACAAGTCTACCTTTCTCTTCTCCATGTGTGTCCCTCTGCAGTAGGACCTCATCTTAACTAACTGCGTCTGCAATGACCCTCTTCCCCAAATACTCTTCGCACACTGAGGGGCTGGGGGTTAGGACTCTACCCATAGCCCCTGCTTGTAGACACAGCGTGAGAGAAGTGTTTCAGTGCTCCTTCATTCTGGTGTCTTGCTCAACCACTGGTATCTGGGGAGAGCAGGGTGGTGGCTCAGTGTCCCTCAGAGCTACTGGGAAAAACACTCAGAGCAGGTGCTTGGGAGTCAGTGTGAACAGAATGTGCAGGTGACAGCTCTGAGGGCCACCAGCTGGGTCCTTTTCTCAGCCACAGGTCGGGAACTCATGGGGCCCTTGGGACCACTTGGGGCCTTCCGGATCTCTGAGTATAAACTTTTGACTGAATCCAAAGTTATTAAATCTTTTATTAAAAGGATTTGTTCCGTGAAGTTTGGATCTGGTCAAGGGGCTGCACTTGGGGATCTGGATAGCCACATGTAGCCTTGAGGCTGCGGGTGCTTCTCCTAGAAGAGTGTCTTGGCAGCTCCATTGTGGCCCAAGGTCACTGGCCTATCTTAGAGCAACACCTTCCCCTCCACCCTGACTGACTGAGTTGTCTTATCTACACATGGGAGAGGTTCTGGGCTGAACATGGGTGACACTCAGAGCTGTCCTCAAGGGTGGAAAGAGAGTATTCCTGATGTTTAGGTAGGTAAAGAGGAAGGATTTGTTGTGCATTCTTAACATATTTATTAAATCGTGCAGCTTTTTCTTAGCTAAATTTGAGTAGAATTTTGTTTCCAAACGTTACTGGGTTGTAGACCAGTAAAGCTGTCCTTCAGATTTCCCAGGGTAAGGATTACAACAGCCCTGAGTGTCATCACCTCTCTTTGTGAAGTGTGGAGTTGGGCTGACCCATAGTGCTGTCCTTGGGGAGAGGATGGAGGCTGGACCCTTCCTTGTGCTTTCTGGCAGATGGGGGTCTCACTGTGGACGTGGTATCACAAGTCTTTAATATACATTGTGTAATTTAGATATCTTATTGTTTTCTTTTTCTGTAGCTGTGGACAAACATTTCTTGCTTCCTACTTTAGACTTCTCCCTCTTAGAGTCTCTTGACTGCTGAGGATGGTCTTCAGGTGGGGTCCCAGCATGGCTCAGTCTGCAGCCTGTTAACATGCCGATTCTCAGCCCTTCTCCAGGCCTGCTAAATCCGCTGGTCAGCTGCCCTGGGTCGGGAGTGGGGGGAGTGGAGGTGGAAGGGTGGGGGGGTGTGTCAGTGAGCTAGGATCTGACCAGCCCTCCAGGAGAGTGATGCAAGGAAGATTGAGAACTCTGGCCTTAATGTATCTCCTCATTCTTTGTCATTTAGTATTCTCTTAAACAGATTTCTAGAAACCAGTGTTGTGCTGGCTCTTGCTGCTGATTTAGGTTGCTTTCCTCCTCAGTTATACTTACTAAGGGTTTCTTTAATACGCCTTTCCTTATTAAAGTGTTTCCTGACTGTTAATGTGCATGTGATGGGGAATTACTACCCTGGGAAAAACTGAGGACCACCAACTAATGTATGTGAAAGATGTTTGGACATTTTTACCTTAGAAAAGTTTACTGGTGATGTCAGCATTTATAATCTTTATAGATATTACGCATGACAGTTTCATTTTTTGAAGATCAAACTGGTGTGTGTTACATTGATTTACATAGTGAAAATGAATGATTCGAAATTGCTTGGTTCTGAAAAATCCAATCTTTATTTCTCTCCTGGGCTTCTGTCCTTCCCTGCTGGACATTAGCATTGAGTTGGCAGTGTTGCAGAGTTCACTTGTCCTCGGTAGTGCTGTGCTGCTAGTTTGTCACAATTTGGTGCTCTAATGAGTTGGGTTCTCGCTGGTACCGAATTTGGTTTTGTCTTTCAGTTCACTATTTGTGCCTACATACAATTTTACAAATCTGAATTTTACATTTTATATTTTCCATTTTAGTGTAGGAAAAATGATGATGGAGACACAATTATTGTTGTTGAAAAGGATCATTTTATGGATGATTTCTTCCATCAGGTAAGAGCATTTAATGAAACCCAGTCATGGACTTTTTCCCTTAAATGTAGTTATATTAATGTAATTGTGCATTTGTCATATTTGAGATAATACTAAAATAAATATTTTTAAAAGTTGTTGTTTGAATGATGTAAATTCTCTGGAGTTTTTAGTTAATATTGAGAAAAATGCAAATCATTATTCCTCATACTTGTCTTGGAGGGCACTTGGGTGCTAGTAGTAGAATTGTGGTATAGAGGGCAGCGGGTGCCCTCCTGGGTGAGGTTGGGGTGCTGTTGCCAGGCAGTTGTGCCTCTTCTTGGCTTGGACATCTCTGTGACTTGGAGCTAGGGCTACTTAGCAGCCCTTCCTCCCCTACGGGCTGCCTCCCCTGCCAACCCCTGGATAGATTTTTTAAAAGTTCTCACCATCAGACCAGTGGTTTCTCCCGACAGAGGGCTCTGTGATCCTTAGGAAGTGGTGATCCTGGCCAAGAAGAGCTTGGCCTTGGGGTGCTGCTGGGGGTCAGGTATGCAAGGCTCCCATGGGCACTGCTGCTTCTGCTAGAGGCAGAGAGAAAGCTCCTGCATATTTTCTAAAATATCTGATTTTAGAATATACATATTTGCTTAGGTATAAGACCCTCAGCAGGCAAGTGTCAATGGTCATCCAGGGATGGCATTTTGAAATGTGGGAAACCTTCAAATACATACTGCCAGTGCCCTGCTTGTGTGGCTGGTGTCTGAGGTATGAGCTCAGGTGCCCTGTCCTGTGGACTTGCCCTGGTGTTCTGCCCCAGGCCATTCTCTGCCCTCTGACCTCCCCAGTGCTGCTCTCAGGCTCAGGCCCAGTATAAATTCTCAAACCCAAGTAATACTTGGTTTCACGTGGGTCTCACATTGCATAATTTCAGATTTTTGAAATTGAGTTGAGCAAATAATCTGACTTTGTTAAAGATGAAGAAAAGAAACACATGTCCAGTGTATTTTTTAATGATGGACACTTCATTCACAGGACTTGTTTGATTATGCCGAATCTGGCAAATAGTTCAGTTGAAAGTCTAAACTGAACTATTTAATCCATGGTCTAGCCATGCATGGATTTGAAAATTTGTAATGTGTTGACCAACATGTATTAAAAGTCATCAGTTTTTCAAATTCAACCAGAATTTCCGGAATGCTTAATGGAAGCCTGGTTGTTACTTTTCAAGTATTTGTTGTTTCCTAATGAGATTAGTACAAGAATGTACTTTAAGGTATGAAGGAGTTAAGATACAGGATTTCCTAATTTTACTTCTTGGAAATGAAACTCTTTTTATATTTTTTTGTCTTTGGTTTCCCTACTCATTTTGTTAGATTATTATTTTTCAGATTTTACCCCCCTACCTGGTTGCTTAACTCTTCCATGCAAGTTCCTTATAAAAATTTATTTCTTGTTTTAAAGAATCTCCTAGCACTGCTTTATCGATTGATTGTAGAATAGGAGTCTTGCCATCTGTGTTGCCCAGGTTAGTCTCAAACTCCTGGACTTAAGCCACTCTCATATCTTGGCCTTCCAAAGTGCTGGGATTACAGGCATGAAGCCACCATGCCCAGCCATGTTGCCGTATTGAATAGCAGAGTTCCATATAGTAATTCACTGAATGCTGTTAAGCTGTGGTCTCTGTTTATTTGGTGTTAACTCATCTTTGCTGCTGATGTCTCAGAGATGTGTGCAAATCCTCATTCACCTCATTTGGATTAACTTAAGGTCAAACTTCTGTTTGTTAAATAATTTATTTTGCAGTTGATTTCTGTGAAATGACTTCTTAGATAGAGAAGTAAATGATGTTTGTTGATATAATTGCAAACATCATTTACAAATATAATTATGTTATATAATTAATATAATTTCTAATATTTTTAGAAAATGGCCTTTATATCTTCAGTGTCACATACAATGTTGCAAAATAAATAGATTTTTGCCCACGACCTCAGTTTGGTTAGAGGCTAAAGTAGTGCTGTAAAGGATGACTAGGGAGTCTCCTTTTTGTAAAGATAATTGATAATGGATAGAAAGAGACCTTGTGTCTTCTAATTCCTAGACATAAATGGTAGCTGTCACCATTGTTAGGGTGTTTCTCTCTCTTGGTATTGTGTGCAGCCCATAGATTTCCTGTCTTTTGGAGCTACACTGGGGCTTCTGCTAGAGCTATCAGTGGTATATATTGCAAAACTCTCCAAGAGTTAAAATATGTTCTTTCTATTTTCTAACATTCTGTGTAGTGTGGAATTACTTTAGAGATGATAAAGTTGGCAAAATGGGCTGGGCCCAGTAGCTCAATGCCTGTAATCACAAGTGTTCTAGGGGGCTGAGGCAGGTGGATTGCTTGAGCTCAGGATTTCGAGACTGGCCTGAGCAAGAGTGAGACCTCATCTTTATTAAAAATAGAAAAAAACTAGTCAGGCATGGTGGCAAGTGCCTGTAGTCCCAGCTATTCAGGAGGCTGAGGAGGAGGATCATTGAACCCAAGAGTTGAGTTTGCTATGTGCTGTGATGATGCTACGTCACTCTATCCAGTGCGACAGAGTGAGACTCTATCTCCAAAAAAAAAAAAAAAAAGATGGCAAAATGAAATATTGATAAGTGCACTAAACCCAAAATACTACTACTTGTAGTTAAGGCTTCATAAAGAAATAGCAAAAATTTTGAAATAATCAGTTTTATTGTATTAAAAATATGTGAATTAGGGCGGCGCCTGTGGCTCAAAGGAGTAGGGCGCCAGCCCCATATACTGGAGGTGGCAGGTAGACCAGGGTTCACACGGGGACCCTGGAACCCTTTCCAATGGATCACATGTCAAAACTATTTTCATAATAATAGTAAGATTAAGTAAGCCTTTTCCACTGTTATTCTTTCAAGAATGCACAATGACAGTGTCTCAGGGATAACACACTGAACACAGAAGGATGTACGAGAGCCAGGCTGTCTGCAGTAAGATGAAAGGTTTATTATGGTCTTTAAAAAATGTAAATCACTGCCCTTGTTTTTACTGATTAAATTACTGGGGTTAGTTTTTTTCATAAAGATATGTCCTTCATGTTAACATGTATATTGGTTTCCTAATTAGCACAAACACTGTGGCTTAAACATCACATATTTATTATCTCATAGTTCTAGAGGCCAGAACTCTAAAGGGAGTCATGCAGGTCAGACACCAAGGTGGTGCAGGGCTGTGTTCTTTCTGGAGGCTCAGGGGTCTCCCCCATCTTTTCCAGCTTCTAGTGTTCTTGGCTTGTCCCTTGTTCTATCTTCAAAGCCCAGCATACAGCTGCTGTTTTCATTGTCAACTCTGTTTTTGATGTTGATCTTTTTGTGTCTATTTTGAAGGACTCTGTGGGTACACTGGGCACCCCCAGATAATCTAGGGTAATCCCCATTGCCAAACTCTTAACTTCCTCCTGTCCCTTTGCTGTGGGAGATGACATATGCACATACTTCCAGTTAGGGTGTAGACATGCCCATGACAGGCTGTGGGTTTGTGATTGGTACTTTAGAGAGGAGGGGTCAGGCATGGTGGCGCATGCCTGTTATTCTAGCACTCTGGGAGGCGTAGGCAGATGGCTCACCTGAGCTTATGAGTTCCAGATCAGCCTGAGCAAGAGTGAGACCCTGTCTCTACTAAAAATAGAAAAGCTGAGGCAAGAGAATCTTTTGAGCCCAGGAGTTTGAGGTGGCTGTGAGCTATGATGCTATGGCATTCTACCCAGGGCAACAGAGGGAGACTCTGTCTCAAAACAAATAAACAAACAAAAAAACATAAAAAAATGAGAGGAGGAAGGAGCAGCAGTGAGACGTCTTGCCCCCCAGTGGTCATACTGCTGCTCTGTAGCCTAACCTCCCCCTGCTCTGTCTTATACGGACACCTGTGCATGTGTGCAGGGGCCACTTGGCTGGTCCAGCATAGTACCCCCATCTCAAGATTCTTAGTGTAGTTATAGCTGTAGATTTTCTTTTGCCATGTAAGATACCATTCATAGGTTCCAGGGAGTAGGCCCTGACCAGCTTAGGGGGCCATTATTCAGCCTATCACAGAGGGCTTTGGAGAGAATGTCACGAGTCCATGTGGATATGTCTTTCTAACAAGTATATTACATCTGGAAACAAATACTGAATAGTGTGAGCCATTTAGAAGCCCCAGATAATGAGCGTGGAGGCTGCCTCCCCACATAAGGGTCACTGCTGGCTCCTCTGCAGGGTGCATTACTGTTTCACTGCACTGAGTGATGGCATCAGTAGGGGAATACTTCCAGTTGGTACATTCTCTGGTACTACTGTGACTTGACTGTAGGAATCTTTATAACTCAGTAGGTTTTGCCAGTGAGTATTGATTGATAATGCCTTTGTTGTAAAGGTAGAAACATTAATATGGAACATTTCTCTTAATTTTGTAAATTAAGTGATATTAATTTAAGAATGGGAAAGGGTTTCATTTCTTTGGGTGGTAATTATTCATTTATTTCCTTCCTATTTTCTTCCCTTTTAGGTAATGAAAAGTGGTAGCAAATTTGCCTTTGCCACATTGTGATGAGTCTTTCTGTTTGTCCTAGGTTGAGGAGATTAGAAACAATATCAGTAAAATAGCTCAATATGTCGAAGAAGTAAAGAAAAACCACAGCATCATTCTTTCTGCACCAAACCCAGAAGGAAGTAAGTTGATGGCTTTTAAAAATAGTTTTTCTGGGCAGTGCCTGAGGCTCAAAGGAGTAGGGCGCTGGCCCCCCATATGCTGGAGGTGGTAGGTTCAAACCCAGCCCCGGCCAAAAACTGCAAAAAAAAAAAAAAAGGGTTTTCTGTCTGTGTTCCTCTTTCTCTTGCTATCTGTAGCTCAGGTCTCAGTCCTCACCCCATGTTAGATAGAGCTGGGAGTGTATAAAAACAGTACTTACGCCGGGCAGCTCTTGGGCATTCTGTGGGCATGGCCTGAGGGGAGCTGGGTCCTGGTGGCTTTTCACAGCTCTCAGCTAAAGTCTAGTGTGCAGCAGTGACGACGGGTATGGCGTATCCACAAGAATACATGAAAAGTCCCATCAATGATTAGACTTGCAGTCTGTACTATGTCCACGGTTAAGCAAGGATGATAGAATTTTATATGTAGAGGGCAGTTAATAAGAGATTGATTTGGAAAACAGTACTTGTTACAGCAGGTTTGAAGATGAGGCAGACTGAGAGGTGTCTTTAAGTTATAGGAAAGCTTTTACGTTCATTGTGTTATTCTCAGTGACTACTGAGGATAGCATGTAAGCAAGCGATTTTAAATTAACTCAGCATCAGGGGCGTGGTAGTTAGGAGGAAGTGTTTCATTGACTTGGGAGTGATAAATATTGAAAATTTTTGAATGGACATGAATATACCAGAGAATCCACACATCATTTTGGGGGGCAAATTGACATCTTAACAATATTTAGTCTTAACAATATTTAATCCATGAAAATGATCTATTCCTCTACTATTTAGGTATCTTTAATGTCTCTTTAGTGTTTCTCTATGGGCAGTGCCTATGGCTCAGTGATTAGGACACCAGCCCCATATACCGAGGGTGGTGGGTTTGAACCTGGCCCCGGCCAAACTGCAACAAAAAAATAGCCGGGTGTTGTGGTGGCTCCTGTAGTCCCTGCTACTCAGGAGGCTGAGGCAAGAGAATCACTTGAGCTCAAGAGCTGGAGGTTGCTGTGAGCTGTGACGGCACAGCACTCTACTGAGGGTGACAGAGTGAAACTCTGTCTCTGAAAAAAAAATAGTGTTTCTCTGGGGCCAGGTGAGGTGGCGCGCACACACCTGTAATCCTAGCACTCTGGGAGGCCCAGGCATGATTGCTTGAGTTTAGGAGTTCCAGAGCAGCCTGAGCAAGAGCAAGAACAAGATCCCATCTCTATTAAAAATAGAAAAACTAGCCAGGGTCGGTGGTGGGTCTCTGCAGGCCCAGCTACTTGGGAGGTTGAGGCTAGAGGATCACTAAAGCCCAAGAGTTTGATGTTGCTGTGAGCTATGACACCAAGGCATGCTACCGAGGGTGACAAAATGAGACTCTGTCTCAAAAAAAAAAAAAAATTGTTTCACTGGGCTCATTGTGAGCGTCTCACACATCTTTTGTTATATTATTCCTAGGAAGTTGATGTTTTGATATTAATGTAAATCCTGTCTGCTTTAAATTTCATTTTCTATCTGCCTGTTGCTGGTATATAGAGATACAGTGATTTTTGTATATTGATCTTGCATTCCATTACCTTGCCAAGTTAGTTATTCTAACATTCTTGGTACATTCAGTTGGATTGTCTCTACACCCAGTCATGTCATCTGTGAGTGATGACAATTTTCCATTCAGCTCTTAAGCTTTTTATCCTTCACTGACTTAATTTCGATGATTTCCAATACAGTATTGAAGTGGCAAGGGCAGTGACCTTATTTATACTCTCTGAGGAAAATTGAAAGCAAATATGTTTTTTTTTATGTTGGAGGATTATTTAATATACTCATACATTGAAAAAAAATAAGGACTTAGTATTAAATCTTGACATTTCATATGTCTTGTAAGATAATATTTTGAGCTTCTGTAGATGCCCATCTATGATCTAGAAGAATGTTTCCCAAAATGTGTTTCTGTAGGCAGAGTCCTTTTTTAGGTCTAAGCAATGGACTTAGGTATTGCATCCATTACTTGGTGTAAACTAGCAAATCTCAAACTTAAAGGTCACCATGAGAGCTTGTTAACTCAGATTAGAGGGATGCATCTCCAGCAAAATTGCTGCTTGAGTAGGTGCAGGATGGAGCCCAAGAGTTCAAGAATTTGCATTTCTGCTAAGCTGTCACCTTAAGAGTGAAGCTGTCAGCCTGGGCACTATACTTTGAGAACCAATGGTACAAGCAGTAATAGGGTCAGGGGACAATAACTTGAATATTTACTAAGAATATATTTCATTTAAATGTATTGGAAAGTATTTTTGTTATGTTATAGCTCAGATAATCTTATTTTAAATTTTTCAAGAAATAAAAGAAGAGCTTGAAGATCTGAACAAAGAAATCAAGAAAACAGCTAATAAAATTCGATCTAAGTTAAAGTGTAAGTTTAAGTTTTATGTTTAATTATTGATGGTGGAGGTATGGGTAATTGTTATTTTCTTCTGCATAGAGTTTTTATTTTGCATTTTTAAAAATTAAAATTTTGACCTCTTAAAATTATTTGTATTTCGAAGTTCTAATTCATATTCAGTAAGAGTGTACATTTGCTTATAAATTATTATACTGTTATTTCTTAGGACATTTTGGGCTAAATTTCAGGTATTTGCGGTTCTTTTAGTTGGTTGGTTCTTTCAGATTTGCAGTATAACTCAGCATATCTCGTGGTGCCTGACCCTTAGCTTCAGGAGCCACTACCCCCAAGGGATTTATGGCTTTTGTACAAGGTTTAACCCAAGATTTCTTTTTCTTGATGTGATAGAAAGACATGCCATACTTAAGTTTTACAGAATGGCATTGAAATCAAGAACAATTTCTGTACAGATTATAAAATACTTTTGTTCTAGAAACTTCAGACATGATAAGCTGGAGATGCTGCCACAAGTCCCCAGCTCTTCAGCCCAGCCCACCCCGACATCTGTGATTTCATTAGTGTATATTTCAGAAACACCAGGGTTTTATGCCACAAAAGCACAACAATTATATCTAAACCAAATTAAATATAATAACTTAATATAAATATCTAATCCGAGGTTATATTTCTCTAGTAATCTTAACAATAATTTTTTTGAACAGTTTTCTTAAGTTGGATCCCAGATAAGGAGCACATCCTTGATTGGTTGGTATTCTTGTGAGACTCTTTAAAATCAGTTCTCCCTCCGTCTTTCTCCCTCTTGAACTTTTTCTTTTGATTCCTGCAGAGCTTGCCATGTTTTGGGCCCTGCCAATATTACCCCATGGCGGTGTTAATAGGTCCTGCTGTCTTCTCCAAACTTCTCTAATTCAGGTGGTTTTGTGGGGTGTTTAAAGAGATAGCATCTGATGACCAGTGTTATGGTTGCATTAAGATGTAGAGGTGGGCTAGTGGAGCACACCTGTAGACCCAGCTACTTGAGAGGCTGAGGCAAGAGATGACTTCGTTGACTTCTGAGCCGTCTCTGTGACCACATGGTCTTTGGTGGCCTTGCTCTTTGTCACCACAACATGGTCCACGCTTACTTTGTACACTTCCTGCCCCAGACCTGGGCTCAGTTGTTTTCCTAAGGAATCCCACTCCTGTCATGTGGAATGGTCTTTTTGGTTTTTTTCTCAGTTTATTAAAAAATTCTTCTCTGTGGGCGGCTGCCCCAGATACTGAGGGTGGCAGGTTCAAACCTGGCCCTGGCCAAACTGCAACAAAAAAATAGCCAGGCATTGTGGTGGGTGCCTGTAGTCCCAGCTACTCGGGAGGCTGAGGCAAGGGAATCGTCTAAACCCAGGAGTTGGAGGTGGCTGTGAGCTGTGTGACGCCACGGCACTCTACCGAGGGTGACAAAGTGAGACTCTGTCTCTACAAAAAAAACAAAAACAAAAATTCTTTTCTGTAAAGGGACACTTATTCTTGGATAATTGGTCACCAGAGAAGCAGCCAACTGCAGATCTCTGCGCTAACAGGAATCTCAGGCTCTCCCAGCTTCGTAGTCTGCTTGTCATGGACTCTGTCACTTGTTCAGTTTCTGGGTTCTTCTGCTGAAGGGGCTTTCCAGGGATCCACTGCATCTGCTCCTGCCTAGGCCCAGCGGGGAGCTGTGTTCAGCCTCTGTGTTGACTTTGTCCAGTTTCCTTCTGTGTAGCTTTTTAGGGCCTGTTCCCCTTGTTCCACTCTGGCTGAGTGATCCTGAGCACATTTGTTCATGGCTTCTTCATTCTTCTGGAACCCTCGTAATGTCTTCCAGTTCTCATGTGTCCTCAGGGGATTATAAGGGGTCCTTTCCACAGACTCAGGGCCAGCCAGGTCTGTTTCATCTCTGTGGTCAGTAGCTAGAAGCTCTTTTGGAAGGTCCTGTGTGTCGATTGTTCATCTACAGTCATTTGAACAATAGTTTCTCATACTCAGCCACAGTTTTCCTCATCTCCAAGATGTCTTGATGGGTCTCTTCATATTTTGTCTTCCCTTCGTTTGCTTCAGTTTCTTTAGTGATGGTCTTGTCTCTGATCAAGGTGAGCATGGCTGTTTTACTGGATTTGCTGATTCCCACCACAGGACATGACACAGAGGCCTTCTGTGGAGGACTTGGTCATTCCCTCCTTTTCTAAAGGTTTAGAACAAGTCTCAGATGAACATTCTTCAACAGCTTCTTGTGATGATTGGGTTTTGGCCCCAGGTCCTGATGACCCTGGTGATGAGTCCCAGGATTCCTTGAGAGGTGATTTAGTGAGGGTTTCAGCGTCAGGGGTCTCAAAATTACCTTCAGAGTCCAAGCTGAAATTCAAGGGTTTGGTCTTGCCTTGTGAGTCCTCCTCCTCAGGTTGCCTTGTTCACCAGGCATGGCCACCACTGCGTTGGGGAATAGGACCTGCCAAAGGCTGACCATCACGAGCATCGCTCCTCCAGCTCCTAGCGGGAGGGTAAGGGGGAAGCCTTTTTAACCCTTTCAAAATGAAGAGAACCTGTGACAGGTGCCAGTTAAGTGTTTCCAGCTGAGGCCAGGCGCGGTGGCTCACACCTGTAATCCTAGCACTCTGAGAGGCTGAGGCAGGTTGATTGCCTGAGCTCAGGAGTTCCAGAATAGCCTGAGCAAGAGCAAGATGCTCTCTAAAAACAGTCGAGTGTTGTGGTGGGCATATGTAGTCCCAACTACTTGGGAGGCTGAGGCAAGAGAATTGCTTGAGGCTGGCCTGTTGGCTCATGCCTATAATCCTAGCACTCTGAGAGGCAGGTGGGTGGATTGCTTGAACTCAGGAGTTTGAGACCAGCCTGAGCAAGAGTGAGACCTCATCTTTACGAAAATAGAAAAACTAGCCAGGGTTGTGGCAGTCACCTGTAGTCGCAGCTACTCAGGAGACTAAGGCAAGAGAATTGCTTGAGCCCAATAGTTTGAGGTTGCTGTGAGCTGTGACTCTGTGTGAAGTATTTACTCCTGCTTATGAGCTCCTCCCTCTCCTCCTCCTCCCACCCCCTCCTGCGTCCCTCTCCTCCCTTCTGTCTCTCCCTCCTCCCTTTCTTCCTCCCCCTAAACCCTGGTGGCACCTAATGGAATGGTGACCTTTCCATTATTTTCCTTTGTGTAAATGTGTGTGGGTAGATACATGTGTATTTATCAAGAGCAGTGACTCAGCCTCCTCTGATGGATGGTCCTTTTAGTGTTTTATTCTAAAGAATTAACTTTAGTTTTATGAAGATATGCTTCAAAGAAAGAAAAGCAATTTTAAGTTTGGATCAAACAACTTTTATTTTTTTATTTATTTTCTTTTTTTTATTGAATGGTAACTGTGTACATTGATGCCCTTTGGGGGTACAGTGTGGTGTTTTCATACATAATCCAAGACACTTCCATCAAACTGGTTAACATAGCCTTCATGTAACTTTCTTAGTTATTATGTCAAAACATTCATATTCTACTCATA